CTCCTCCACCATGCCTTCGCTCGCTTGCCTCCTCTCCTCCTCTACCATGCCTTCTCTGCCCTGTCTTCTCTGCCATGCCATCTCTGCCCTGCCTTCACTGCCCTGCCTTCACTGCCCTGCCTTCTCTGCCCTGCCTTCTCTGCCCTGCCTCTAGTCACTGCTAGCCCTCCTAGCCCTCCTCGAGTCACTGCTTCCTGGCAGCTCCAGTCATAGTTCCCTAGGTTGCTCCCACTAAAGCTGCCAGCGCTACGTCATGATCTGCTCTTTGCATCTCTTGGATTTGCCTCTCCAACATCCATGCAGGGCCACGCCTTTCTCATCCGTCTCTCCTCACTCTGCCCGGTGCATCCCTAGCCCTGCGCCCCCGTGCCCACACCCCCAGCAGGCCTGGTAGGGTTTAGGGCAGCTCCCCGGTACTCCTCAAATCCAGATTCATGGACGTAAAGCCCCCAATCCCCCCACTGGAAACCCCTCATTTTGGAACAGTAGATAGGATTGTGACGGGTAAAGTGGTCTCGCACCACCCTCCGCACCACTTCCCGCACACTCGTCACCCACCTCGTGTTCTTTCGGTGGGAGTTTGAGAGATTCATGGTGGACTTCTTTACCTGTAAGACATGGGGTGGAATGGCAGGAGGGGATGACACAGTTATTGGTCACCACAAAAAGATAGAAACTCAGCAGCAAGAACAAACCCTCCCATATCCGCCCCTCTTGATCAGCGTCCAATGAAATGGATCACATGTCCTGAGGTGGGAGACAGGGGGCGGTGGAAAGGGTTTTGGACACTAACAGAGTCTGTAGTGGCAAAGCCCTGGAAACATTAAGAGGCGGGCGTTCACAATATCTAGTGGCTGATACTCACCACCATGATAATCCACGCAATGTGGTAAGCCTTCAAACAGAGCTTGCCATCACTAGAGTAGTCACGGAACGCTGCCCAGGCAGCATCCCAGAAGCGCTTGTTGGCGAATGACATGCCGCTCTCCTCATCCAAGCCCCAAGTGCTAAGGGGTTGGTTTGCCTCTGCACACAAGGTTGGGAGAGGGGGGGCACAGTTGTTAGAGCAGCCTTTAAATTCAAAACACTTGTGTTAAAGCATGTAACCCTTACTTGGTGAGAAGTCAGCCCACAGGGCAGCCTTGAGCCCGACTTCCAAGTAGATTTCCGCGGCTCGCAGACCCTCCACAGGAACTCCGAAGGATTCGAGCACCGAACGCTTGATCTGAAATGCCCGCTCGTTCTTCCACTGTGTATACGCACGCTTGAAACGGTCGATGAGCTTCTCGTCCTTCATTGTCTCCTTAAACTGGATGAAGGAAACTATGTAACCCACGGAAATTACCCCATGCAGAACTTGCTCACGCAAGTCATGCGTGGGGTAGAAGTTGAGGGCAGCATCGGGGGCGTCCATGCAGAGGCGGTCCCTGGAGACATCAAAGTGGAACTGTATAGGGGAGAGGAGAGGGAGTGGGAGAGTGGGAAGTGGGCGGGTGGTGGGTTGGGGGTGGAGAAGAGGGTGGAGAGGGGAGGGATGACAAGGGGGGAATGTGTGACAAGACAGAATGATGATGGAGTGAAAGTATCGATAGTAAACAACAACTAATCAACGCAGTGAGGAGCTCTGGGAAAGGAAAGTCTTGGGGGAACTCAGAGCTGGGGGAAATGCGGCCGAGCGAAAAGCAGAGCCGGGGGAAATGCAGAGCTGAAGGTGGTGCAGAGTTGAGGGTAAAGCAATGCAGGGGGCAAGGCAGGACTGAGTGAAATGCAGAGCTGGGGGGAACGCAAAGCTGGGAAAATGCAGAGCTGGGAGAGATGCAGGGCTCTAGGTAAGTCCAGAGCTGAGGGAAACGCAGAGCAAAGGGTAATGCAGAGCTTATGGAAATGCAGGGCTGAGGGAAGTGCAGAGCTGAGGGAAGTGCATAGCCGAGGGAAATGCAGGGATAAGGGAACTGCAGAGCTGAAGGAAGGGCTTAGGGAAATGCAAAGTACAGGGAAGTGCAGAGCCGAGGGAAATGCAGTGATGAGGGAAATGCATGGCTGAGGAAAAAGCAAGGCTGAGGGAAGTGCAGAGCTGAGGGAAATTCAAGGCTGAGGGAAGTGCGGAGCTGAGGGAAATTCAAGGCTGAGGGAAGTGCAGAGCTGAGGGAAATGCATAGCAAAGGGAAATGCAGAGCTTATGGAAATGTAGGGCTGAGGAAAATGCAGGGCAGAGGAAAATGCAGGGCTGAGGGAAATTCAAGGCTGAGGGGAGTGCAGAGCTGAGGGAAATGCATAGCTAAGGGAAATGCAGAGCTTATGGAAAAGTAGGGCTGAGGAAAATGCAGGGCTGAGGGAAATTCAAGGCTGAGGGAAGTGCAGAGCTGATGGATGTGCAGGAAGTAGGCATATGGGACCATTAAATAAACAAATTGAAATGAAGAAACTGAGGCGTAAAGAGACACAACGGGTGCTTGAAATCAGGCCAGTGAACAACACGGCAGAGCTTTGACCATGCATGGGGGACCTTACCTTCATGTTATCAGAGGTGGGCATCCCATGCTTGCGTACAATGGGTTCACCCTGGACCCCACTCTCAGCAACGAAACCGGGCGAGGCCTCCCGTGAAGGAGGACCACTGGACAATTCCGCCAAGGGAGGAACCTGTGCACGAGGTCCCCCGTTGTCCATTGCTGACCCCTTGCGCGACTTCAGCTCTGCAATTTGCTTTTTGGCGTCCTGCAAAGCACGGAACAACTGCTGAATGGTCACGCTAGCGTGGCCATCCGCATCGCCTACCGATGCATCAGAACCAAGAGCATCACTAGTGCCAAAGTTGTGGGCACCAAGACGGCCTCGGTTGCCCTCCTTTTCAGCTGCTGAGGAGGGTTTGGACTCGGGCTGCAGCGAGGCTACACCAGCAGGACTGCTACCAGGGCCTTGGTGGGCTGCTTCGTCATTCTGGCCAGCATAGTCTCCAGCTGCATTTGCCCAGACGCCATGCTCCCCAGTTTCGGCAGCCGCATGGTTGCTGCCAGCTAGCCAAGGTCTGTGTTTGCGGTCGTACCCCTTCGCACTCGTGTTCATGTGCGCGCCACCAGAGAACGCCCCCGCCCCCCTCTGAGGACATGCCGTGCCATCCCACCTCTTCGCCTCCTGCACCTCCAACACCCGTCTTCCCCCATCCTCAGCCACACGCGTGTGGCCCCTCGACAAACGACCATCGGCAGCAGAGGGTGAAGCGAGCGCTGCATAAGGGTCATCTTGAGCTGCGCGTTTCAACCTATACCTCTCCTTACGCTCTTCCGGTGTACCGTCATTCGCCGTCTCAAGAGCTCTCATCTCGTCCCCCACCCAGCCCTGCATGTCCCTCAGCTCTGGATTGCCCCAGTGATCTGGACTTCCCTCAGCTGTGTATTACCCCCAGCTCCTCATTTCCCTCAGCTCTGCCTTTCCCTGAGCTCTGGATTTCCATCAGCTCTGAATTTCCATCGGCTCTGCATTCCCCCCAGCTCTGCATTCCCCCCAGCTCTGGATTTCCCTCGGCTATGCATTCCCCCCACCTCTTCATTTCCCTTGGCTCTGCATTTCCCTCGGCTCTGCATTTCCCTCGGCTCTGCATTTCCATCAGCTCTGCATTTCCCCCAGCCCTGCATTCCCCCCAGCTGTGCCCTTCCCTGAGCTCTACATTTCCCCAACCCTGCATTCCCCCCAGCTCTGCCTTTCCCTCGGCTCTGCATTTCCCCCAACCCTGCATTCCCCCCAGCTCTGCCATTTTCTCAGAACTGCATTTCTCTCAGCTATGCATTTCCCTCGGCTGTAGATTACTCCCCAGCTCTGCATTCCCCTCACCTCTGCATTTCCCTCACCTCATTTCCCTCAGCACTGCATTCCCCGTAACCCTGCATTCCCCCAGCTCAGCCATTCCCTCAACCCCTGCATCCCCCCCAGCTTTTCCTTTCTCTCAGATCTGCATTTCCGCCAGACCTGCATTCCCCCCATCTCTGCATTTCCCCCAACCCTGCATTCCCCCCAGCACTGTCTTTCCCTCAGCTCTGCATTTCCCCCACCCCTGCATTTCCCTCACCGCTGGAATTCCATCAGCTCTGCATTCCCCCCGGTTCTGCTTTTCCCTCAGCCCTGCGTTTCCCTTATCTATGCATTTCCCCCAGCTCTGCATAACCCTCTGCTCTGCATTTCCCTCGGCTCTGGAGTTCCCTCGGCTCTGGATTTCGCACAACTCTGAAATTCCCTCAATTATGCCTTCCCGCCAACTATGCATAACGCTCAGCTCCGCATTTCCGCCAGCCCTGCATTCCCCCCATCTCTGAATGTCCCCCACCCAGCCCTGCATGTCCCTCAGCTCTGGATTGCCCCAGTGATCTGGACTTCCCTCAGCTGTGTATTACCCCCAGCTCCTCATTTCCCTCAGCTCTGCCTTTCCCTGAGCTCTGGATTTCCATCAGCTCTGCATTTCCCCCAGCCTTGCATTCCCCCCATCTCTGCATGGCCCCCACCCAGCTCTGCTCCTCCCTCCGCTCTGGATTGCCCCTTTGCTCTGGATTTACCTCTGCTATGCATTCCCCCCACCTCGGCTCTGGATTCCTCTCTGCTCTGGATATCCATCAACTCAGGATTTCCCCTAGCCCTGCATTACCCCCAACTGTACATTCCCCCCTGCTCTGCATTTCCCTCAGCTCTGCACACCCGTCAGCTCTCCATGTCCACCTCCGAGCCCTGCATGTTCCTCACCTCTGGATTTCCTCTGATTTGAATTTTCCCTAGCTCTGCATTTCCCTCAACTCTGCATAACCCTCAGCTCAGCATAACCGTCAGTTCAGCATTTCCCTCAGCTCTGGATTTTCCTTCGCTACGCATTCCTAGCTCTGCTTTTCCCCCAGGTGTGCTTTTCCCTCCGCTCTGGATAACCCCAAACTCTGCATTTGCTTTCAGCCCTGCAGCTCTCATCCACGGCCCTCTGTCCCCCTTTCCACCCCGTTATCCCATTCTGTCATAACCCCAGGCGTGCACCGTGGGCCGTAGGGTGCTGACCAAGACGCACAAGAGGATGGTGGTGGGGGATAGCACGGATCCAATGTGGAGGAGCTACGTCGCGGTCCTGGGGAAACCTGCAATGGACGAAATGGCATCCCACCTCAAGCTGGCGGGCGTGAAGACCCAGGTCCTTCAGGTACGAAGTTGCCTTGAGCAGCCCTGTCAAACTATCCCCAGTGAATGTCCTTGAATGATTCTGATGGCAACGTGTGCCTTTGTAAACCATCAACTGCCCAATACCCGTGCCCTCAGAAGCTCATTATTGTAAAATTCCACCATTGGCCCATGTCCCTTCCCATGCGGTGTTCCAGGTGCACACCGCACTTGCCATCCCTCCACACGACAGGATGGAATGGACAGCCAAGGGCCAATTTGTCAAAGCGAGCCCGTCACAGCGGAACTTCTCTGACGTGGCCATAAACCCGGCGGGGAAGGGGGCCAACTGGTACGGCCGCTGTCTGGTTCTGTTCCACTACGACAAAGACGGGGCAACGAAGCAGGCTGCCTACATTGAGTACTACACAGAGGACAAGCAGGTGTGCCACGTCACTGGATGCCGACGCCTCCTGCCAACGAGGGGTGTCGACAACTATGCGATCATGGATGCAGATTGCATTCTGAGCATTGTTCATGTTGTCCCGTGCTGCAAGGATCCTGATGTGCGCTTGCTGAACAGATTTGTGTGGTGAATTGCCAAGTGGAATAGTTCTAGTTGCTTGCAGCAAGCAACTTTAGGGTGACCTCATGACAACAAACTTATATTAAAATCATGACTGCTAGATTGTGCCTTCAAATTGATGCATGATGAAATTTCACATCATCCCGCCTGACACTGATGCCTTCAAATTGATGCATGAAATTTCATGTCAACAAACTTATATTAAAATCATGACTGCTGATTATGCATTTATTTCACATTCACCCAAATATCTACCGCTGACACTGATATTGTATAACAGTAACGAGTATAAGGAGTACACACCTACATTTCCAACTCTGCGGGAAAATCAGAAAAACAAATAGTTACAAATCTCTAATCATTGCAGGAAGTGATCCCGACTCCTCATAATCAACTTTTCCCACGACTGCCATACTACCAAACCACTCGTGCAAATACACAAATCACAACATTTATTTTACAAACAAATATGATTTGGCAATCATTTGAAGCCATCGACTTGGGAAACAGATGAATCTCAAACAGTTCAAAGAGGGTTAACAGACGATAGCGCCTAGCTCGGAACGTCAGATGATATTCAAATGCACATATTTTTGTGATGTGCACGCAGTGGTGGCGTTGCTGTTGCCCGCCCACGTGCCCCACACCTCGTTCAGCTGCACCAGCGCGCTCACTGCCGGCAGAATGGGGGTAACGGGGCAACGGGGAAGCGAAAACGGAAGGGAAATATAGCGCTGGTTTAGGCACCAGCGAGCTTACCCTAACACATACCCTGCACCCTTTGGCGCCGTTAATACCCACAGTGCGATGCTTGTAAGACTGGGCCGGTCGAAGAGCTGCCGGCGGGCGCATTGGAGCCGGTAGTGGCGGCTGCGGCTCGCGGCATCAGCTCGCGGCGACAAGCTCCGCGGGTATGTCGAGCGGCGGGAGTCGTCAGGTACCTGCGCAAATGGGGATAAACTTGCGGCCGCGGCAGGGGGTGCTTGGCAGCAGGCCGCAATGCGGAGCAACTGGCTGCGGCAGTGCCGCCAGGCGTAGTGAGCGCGAGAAGCGCCGCGAGGAGAAGGATCGGGGCTGCGGCAAGGAGACGGAGGCGCCTCACTGCCCGGCGGCGTGGCTCGGATATGCGCGTTTGTAGGTGTGGTTCGGCCCGTCATGAGGCTAATTTGATAGGGATGATAAGCAAAAAACAATTGTGGTTGCCGTCCTCTGGTTACTAGTACAGTAGTGGCACTGCTGTCCTGGCGGGTCGTTGTCACAGATTCAGAAACAGCTGTCGTACCATGTATTTCTTGATTGGAGACGGTTCGGGAACTCACTTCGCAGCACAGGTCGTATGCGACTGGTGGAGTTTTCTCAGGTGCAATACCCCATACACCTAACCTGCGACATCTTAACTACTAATAACTTCACGCAGTGTACTATTTACCCTTTGATCTAGGGCTATCCGTGGTTGACTCGATCAAATAATGCAATTACGTGAACACTTTCCTGGCTAAAACATTATCAGCCTCTGCAAACTCTCACGGGGTTCGACAACGATCACATCATAATTGTTTCACTGCGAGGGGCGTGCTCTTCGATTCTGCCTACTCTACCTGTAGAACTAGACACACTCATGTGGGGTTACCTTCACCCCCAAGCCTCGAGCCGCGCTGGGCGTGTTTGACTCGAAAGTTTCCAGGTTTTGAAAATGTCGCTTTTGAAAATATCACGATCTAGGTGTATATGCTACGAGTGTTTAAAGCGAGGGCCTAAAGAAACAGAAAACCAAATCCAAAGGTTTTGGATTCCAACCGGAATTTACAGGGTCACCCCTGATTCACCAGCGACGCCTGACGACATTGAAAAGAAGCATTCCGATAGGTCCAACCTCTCCAACCAAACTGTGTACGACGCCTCTCTCTCAAATAGTCACACACTCAATATCAAGTCCCGAAGGCTTGGCATACCATTTGGGACATACGTTCCACCGCTTTCCCCGCCGTCAAGTACGGCGCCACTCACTCCCCTTCGCCGCGCCATCACCTCCTCCCCGGGTTTCCGCCGTGTCTCCAACCCGCCCTCCGTCGCTCTACACTCCGTACTACCATACATGTTGCACTCCCATTACGCTCGCAATTCGCGTCTCGCTCCCGATTCGGTGCGCTAACTATGCATTCTCAAGGCATGGTTGAGGGAGAGTGTGAGAGAGTGAGAAAAAGGCATGCGAGAGAGAGGAAACGGAGTGGAGAGGGGCAGCGAGGAAAGGGGAAAGGGGCAGGAGGGGGCAGCGAGTGAGAATCGGAAAGAAAGGGAGGACAGGAGGAAGGGATGAAAGGAGGGATTGAGAGGGCGGATAGGAGCGTAGGGAGAGGCGTAGAGAGGGGGGAAGGGCGGTTAGGAGCATGGGGGGAGGCGTAGAGAGAGGGGAAGGGCGGATAGGAGCGTGGGGAGAGGCGTGCAGAGGGGGGGAGGGGGAATAGGAGCGTGGGGAGAGGCGTGTAGATGGGGGGTGGGCAGATAGGAGCGTGGGGAGAGACGTGCAGAGGGGGGAAGGGCGGTTAGAAACGTGGGGAGAGGCGTGTAGAGGGGCATGGGCGGATGGGATAGCCAATCCCTTCATCTCCTTTCCTCTTACCACCTTTCTCCTCACCTCCATTACCCTCACCCCCGCTCTCCCTGGGGCATTTCCCTTCTTTCTTTCCTCCTTTCTCCTCTCAATTTCAATATCCGCTCTCGTCTCCTCTCCACGTGCTCTTATCCCATGCTCTCTCCCTGCTCAACCCCCTACGCTCACTCTCAGGGATGGACAGATGGAGGGATGGAGGGCAGGAGGGACGCAGGGACGGACAGACGAGTGGGGCTAGTAGATTGGCCTATTCCCCCGTTCCATGCCATGTGTTCCTCCTCCACCCCCCTCCCTGCCGAATATCCCTTCCACCCCTGCCACTGTCCTCCACGCCAATCCCATCCCTCCCTTCCCCCATTCCCGTCCATTTCCTCCCTCACCCCACTCCTTCCCCCATTCCCGTCCATTTCCTCCCTCACCCCACTCCTTCCCCCATTCCCGTCCATTTCCTCCCTCACCCCACTCCTTCCCCCATTCCTCTCACTCCACATGCTCAAACCTGCCCTTGCCGTGTCCGCCTCCCCAATCAGTGCGCAGTCTCTCTTCTCATCCCCAACTCCCCCCTTATCCATCGCAAAAAAGTGGCAATCTAAAAACCATTCGAGGTGGAGCGAGGATGCCGACTATCTGCAGAACATTCAAATACCATTCGCAGAACGTTCGCGTAGCATTTGGCAGGGTGTAAATGTAAAATGTATGTTTTGCAAAAGCTACGATTTCTAAACCCTATGATTTCAAAGCGATAAGCGTCTGTCCAATCGTAGTACACTCCTGTGTTTTTTTTGTTATGTTCGAACGTAATTGTTTATGTATGGAATATATCATGTGTGGGAAATAAAAATGATAGGGTTTGTTGCTATATTATTAGTGGGGTCATCACCTGCTGCGAGCACTGTGAATGGTTGTCGCTGCAAACTAAAAGTATCATGCTCAATACGAGTCACTCAATTGTCAACCTCTAAGACAAGGTCAATTTAAACAAAGTCATGCATAAATAAGAGCGCAACCGGTGGTTCAGAAAAGAAACCGGTTAACGAGCCGGTACTTCGGGTCCGTGCAGCACGGAACCACATGTGCAAGGCTCAGGATGCTGTCCACGTCCACAACGGCATAGTTGTCGATGCCCAAGGTTGGCGTCAGGCGCTTGCACCCGGTGATGGGGCAAGGCTTCTGCGCCTCGGTGTAGTACTGGATGAACGCCCCGCGCTTCTCCACCTCCCCATCCTGGTAATGGAAAAGCACCAGGACACGACCATACCACGGCTCCCCCACGCCGCCGCCAGGCCTGATCGAGACGTCAGAGAAGAGGCGCTCGTGAGGGCTCGCCTTCACGAACTGGCCCTTTGAGGTCCACTCCATGTTGTCATGGGGGGGGATGGCCATGGCTGTGTGGACCTGGGTTTAGGGTAGGGGGCAATGGGGGGAGTTCAGGGAAGGCGGGTGGGTGTAGAGAGGGGGCACGAGTGTGCCTTGAATTATCGTAGATGGGAGGGCAGCGCTTGGCAAGGAGGCATGGTACCATGGCACATGATAGTCATATTGTATGATTAGACGGATTGAGCTCAGGAGGGGATAGAGGGGAGACGTGGACAGAGGGGCCACGGTAGGGTTTAGGGTGTGGAAAAAAGAGAGCCCGGTCCCACCAAATTGCTGCCATTCCATGCCATTCACTGGCCAAACCCCACCAATCCCACTGGTACCGCTCCCAAGGCCCCCTCCCCGTCCCACTTGACTCATTCCTTGCTATTCCCTGACTCTCTCTCCAAATCCTGCGAGAGCTTGCTGTTCGCGGCCCTTTCCCTCCCACTCCCACTCCCATTCTCAGTGATTCCTTCCTACCCCGTTCCCTCCAATTCCCTCCCATCCCCGTGCATTCCCTCCTATTTCCTCCCATCCCCGTCCATGGCCTCCCATTCCCTCCCATCTCTGTCCATACCCTCCCATTCCATGCCATGCCCATTTATTAAATGGGACCCTAAGAGCTGAGGTAGCCAAGTAGTCAATGCAGTCTCCCATTCCATGCCATCCCCATCCATTCCCTCCCATCCCTGGGATACCCTCCCAGGCCATGCCATCCCCGTCCATTCCCTCCCATCGCTGTTCATACCCTCCCATTCCATGCCATCCCCATCCATTCCCTCCCATCGCTGTCCATACCCTCCCATTCCATGCCTTCCCAATCCATTCCCTCCCGTCCCTGTCCATACCCTCCCATTCCATGCCATGCCCATACATTCCCTCCCATCACTGTCCATTCCGTCCCTTGACCTTCCAAGCCATACCACTCCCTCCCACTCATGGCCATCTCCTCCCTGCCATAAGGTGCCCAGTCACCCTGCCACTCCCTGCCCCGCCCTCACGTTCCATCCCAATCCCCAAACCCATGCCTCAGGGTCTAGTTAACGTACAAAGATTGTCCGCGTCT